AAAAGAAGCAAATAAAATATATTAAGGCATGAGAAGAAGTTGAGATCATGTTGTGCTGTGTTTTTTTCTTATAATTATATTGAGATCTATTATATCTACCAAATTTATTTATTTATCATTTTCTAAAATACAATTATTTATAATGTTTTAACTACTATTACTCAGAAATTCAATCCAAATTTATAAGGTTTCAAAAAGTAGTTTATTTATATTTTTATTAGTTTACGAACATAAATTTAGATAAATATTAGATTTTCAGTGGCATTTTTAATAAACAAATTTAGAGAAGGAGTATTTCCAGGAAAAGATTATTGATAAAATTGTATTTTGAAATTAAGCCAAAATGAGAAACTAATCTTAAAATTAATTGTATATTATTTTTCAGATAAGATATAGTCATTGTCAAAGATCTAAACTTAGAAAAAATCATTACATGTAAGAAAGAAGATAAAATATAGTCATAGTCAAAGGTTTAAACTTAGAAAATAAATTATTGCATGTAAGAAAAGAATGTTTTAAGGCATGACACTATTTTTTTTCTGTACATGTATATAAGTAGCAAAGCACATATAAAAGCCTCCACCAGACCACCACCACCACATCTCTTATATAATTTGATAGGAATGGATAATGCCGCAACCGCAGACCAAAGAGGCAAATACTAATCTCAAGTGTTGACGTGATGTCTTTGATACTATTCGACCTTGATCTTCTTGACCGTCCCCTTTTCTGCCACCCATTGACGAGTCTTATCTTTCAGGTCTCTCTCTTCTTCTTGGTTTATAATTGTTTTGGTGGTAAAAATTAGTAATTTCACTACTTACTAGTCTGAGAAGGATGATTTTTTGTTAAAATTTAATCTTTTCTACATTGGCTTAGTTTCTCTTCTCTACAACTTTGATAATATTAACTAACTCTGAGTTTTACTTTTCGGTGTGAAGATGGACATATAGCTTGCTCTTCTTGTTGTATTATGCTGATGAGGAATAAATGCACTTCTTGCATTTTGCCAATTGGTATCTATCAATGTCGAATACTGGAGAAACTTGTGGAAGCAGTCATTCTCCCATGCCCAAACGCCAAGCATGTCTGCCCAGAGAAGTTCTCCTATGGCAAATAGTTAGTGCATCGAGATGATTGCGGTTCTACTTTGTGCTATTTCCCTGCACGAAACTGCAACTACACGGGTGTGTACGAGGATCTCTACTATCATTTCATTGTTTGGCACAAGGATTGTTACTCATCGAGGTTCAGGACTGGCCAATACGTTGACGTTGACATACAAGTAAACATCAACGAGACGATGTTAATCCTTCATGAATATCATCATGGTCCATTGGTTATTATTCAGTCCTATAAGGGGGGAGACGGGTTATATGTGATCGTCAACTTACTCGCATCTCCTTCTACTCCAAGAGATTTGAAATTTCGCTATGATCTCATCTACCGGAGGGGTTATGAACAGCTTACTTATGAATGCGGCGAGATGACTAGGATTCTAAGATTGAGTTTCGAAGCTCCTGCGCTGAACTACATGTTTATTCCTTACAATGCCCTCGATGAAGGCTTGGTAGTGAAGATGGAAATTCGCATTCGCGAAATAGGATATGAGGAGGAAGAAAACGACAAAGAAGAAGCTGAGGAGGAAGAAGATGATGATAATGATGATGAAGACGCAGAGGAGTAATATCGTTATCATATCATATCTGTTGTAGTAGGTTGTTGAGTTCATATCTGTTGAAGCTAGTAATGTATTTCTGATGTTTTGTTGTTGCTGTTGTTGTTCTCTCACCCATGGACTCTATCTCTAAAATCTAAGGGGGTGTATTCAAAATGTAATTTGAAGAGATTTGAGTTTTCTTGAGTTATTAAATGGTTTTGATGATTTTAAGGAAAGTAATATGACTTTTGTAAAATCCTTTCAAATCTCTACATAAAACCATGAGATTTTGATTTCTGTATTTTTAACTAAGGAAATCCTCTCAAATTTATATCTTTTTGTGAAAATAGTTAACTTATATGTTTTCTTAGTCTATGTGTAGAAAACTTAAACATCATTTAAAATAAAACAGAAAGAGTATTTGAATACTAGAAACCAGATTTGCTAGGAATGATGAACCATAGAGATGTATAAGTAGGCATGTCAATCGGGCTAGCCCCGTCCGGCCCAGTCCGAAACCCGTAAAACCCAAAAAATGTCATAAATAAAGAATTTAAAATTATTAAGTAGGGTTAGTAAGTAAATATGAAAACTAACTCATTAATAAATTCTTCTAATCAAACTAAAATATTAAAAAAAAATCAAAATATATTTGTTTAAAGGATTTTCGGGTCGGCATGAGTCTAGAAAACCCTTTGGCTCGAATGGGTTTAGCCTAAAAGGCCAGGTTTTTCCTGGACATATATATTACGCCCGAGCCCGATGTTTTTCAGGGTCAGGCCGGGCTAGCTCGCGAGCTTTAGCCCTAATTTTCATGCCTATGTGTAAGTAACTTTTGATTAAGGGTTTATATAAAATTGATATTTGAAGGTATGCTTTTTTTTTTCTTTTTGAAAATATATATATGATATTTGAAGGTATGCACTATGAGGCCATCAACTATAACTGGACGCCAAGGCCGCAACAAGTTGTCTGATATTTCTCGCAGATCATCTGAAGCATATGCAGATCTTTGTACTAAACAGTTAAACTCTTTTCCAGATTGTACGCCTCAAGAGTTCTTGCGGCCTTGGATTAATTAGGATGTTGATGCATTACAAATGTAGTGTGTGCTCAAAAATGTCATTTTTGGATGTGTACTTTGTTACGTATGCATTTCATTAAAAGATGAATGAGAACCTTGTTGATAATCGTCGATGAGGATATGCTCTAAAGTCATTGAAGTATCGAAAAAAGAAAAATAAATAAATTTCCCAGTTCTCGAGTTTGGTGTGTAGTAAGGATAGATTTGGGAAACTTATTGGCGAAAACGTCAATGAAGTGTCTAGATTTGTTGAATTTACTGAGTATGAATCATACAAACAAATTTATTTTTACATTAAAAAGGAGAAATTATGATCATCTATGTTAACATTTTTGCATCACTCTTTGAAATAATACATGGACTCTGGACTTTGAAAGTATTTACAAAGAATGCCATTAGAATTTATTATTTAGTTAAAATTTTGAAAACTAATAATAAGCATTTTTAACAAAATTTCTAAAATCTCTCCCTAATAAATATAATACAATTTCTTATTTCCACCTTTTCTCAAATATTTCTCCAAAATCATTATATGATCTTATTTTTTGAAAATTATTTTATCACATAAAACATATGTAAAATAAAAATACAATTTTTTGCATATATTGCGATTTGAATTTATTAAAACGGATGTATATTACAAAAATTTTAGTATATGTACAACATCCCACATCATGTAGACTTTTTTTGATAATGGTTCATAACATTTATAAATACGATTATAACCTTCCAAGTATGACTGACAAAACTATAAACATGGGTTTAATTTTTTGGGAATTAAATGACGGGAAGGGTTGTTAACTACATATAAAGTTTAAAATATTTTTAATATTTTTAATTTTCAAAAAATAAAGTGATATTAATATTTTAACTCTACACCAAATTAATACTAAAACATTATTGACTTTGCTATTTTTTAAAACATGGATTTTTTTTCTTTCTATTAGATGACATGACGGGATATTAGACAGAAAATGTTGTAATATGCTTCTAACATATTATATGACAGGACGAGTTGTAAGACGAAACGGATTTGAGTTGATATTGCTAAAAAATTATAATATTGTATATCTCACTGTTCAATACGTGTTATTTTACTATTTTTAACAACACCGATATAAAACATGTATATCTAAACTAATTTAATAAAGATTGATGTTATGTAATCTTAATAATTATTAAATAAAATCCAAAAAAATCATAAATTTTAAAACATGAATTAAAAAGAAAATGTTTACCCCGCAGTGTACCGCGTGTTAAAATCTAGTACAAATGAAACAAAAGTGTAAATCTTTATGATTGGTCATCAAAGTATTAGCAATTTAACATGGTTTCTCCGGCACTACGATTCATTTGGACCTAAGAAGCCTTTAGAGTCACTAATATAAAAAAACAATTGTGTAAATGATGAGCTCAAGATAAGATCTAGTGATATCATTACAATTTTTGTCTTCCACAAAAATTCTAAACTTAAAAAAAAAACATTGCATGTAAAAAAACAGACCTAGCTTAGATTTTATAGTATTTGGTGTGTAAAGACGAATTCAGGAAATTGTTTATGAAATTTCTATGAAGTGCTTCAACTCGTTCGATTCCAAATAATTAAAACAAGATCTACCTTAAATTTTATATTATCTCGAATTTAACTGGTATGGAAAAAATATGAAATACAAAATTAATTTTACACTAAAAATGAATTTTTTAAAAAAACTATACCTTTCTGTTGTATCCGATTTCAAAGATACTCATCTATTCATTTTAATAAATATCTTATATTAAATCTGAAAATTTATAGAGTTTAATAAGGTTTATAAAGTACTTCTAGATGGTAACTAATACTCGGAAACTAGGTCCAAGTATTATAAGATTTTTTTTTAAATTTAGTTGGTGTATGTTTTGATAAGTTTATAGTTACACACATATTTAATTAAATATTAGATTTTTAGTGACATTTTTAATTAAAAATCTAAAGGCATTTTTTGAAAAATTGTATTTGAAAAATTGTAATTTTAAAATTCTCCCAAAAAGAGAAACTAATCTAAATTGATTTTACATTATTTTGTTCAGATAAGATACAGTGAACTTAGAAATTTAGTCAACCACATAATCTAAATTAAACTTAGAAAAAAATCATTGCATGTAAGGAAAGAAGGGTTTATGCCACTGCACCCTTTCTTCTCGATGTATATATAAAGCAATTGAACATGTAAGAGCCTCCACCAGGACCACCACCACATATCATATACTCTGATAGGAATGGATAACGCTGGAGAAGCATCGAGCAGCCGCCGAAAGAGGCAAAGACTAATCTTCATCGAGAGTACTGATGATGACATGATACATACTGGGACACTACTCGAGCTTGATCTTTTGGATTGTCCGATTTGCTGCCACCCACTGACCAGTCCTATCTTTCAGGTCTCTCTTCTTCCTGGTTTATTATTGCACTGCTTACAAATCCTACAAAGATGAAATTTTATTGATATACATGAGACTTTAGGATATAGCAATGATTAGTGTACTAGTGATTAGTATAGAACAAGAATTTCATTTTAGGATAAGAAGTTTTGGTAAAGGAAACTTCATATAGGACAAGAAGTCTCATATGATGGATGATTGTTTTGGCTTGCTTAAATTTATATTTGCTTATGTTTCTCTTCTCTATATACAACTTTGATAAGATTAACTAACTCTGTGTTTTAAATCTCAGTGTGTAAATGGGCATATAGTTTGCTCGTCTTGTCGTCCCAAGCTAGGGAATAAATGCCCTTCCTGCACTTTGACCATTGGTAACAATCGGTCTAGAATAGCGGAGAGACTTGTGGAGGCAGTCCTTGTCCCATGCCGAAACGCCAAGCATGGTTGCCCAGAGAGATACACTCATGGGAAAGAGTAAGCCGACCATGAGAAGATTTGTGACCTTTATGTGTGTTATTTTCTAGCACGAAACTGCAACCACTCTGCTTTCCAACTAGATCTCTACTGTCATTACACTGCTTGCCACAAGGCTAGTTTCTCAAGGTACAGGGAGAGACTCGCGCAGCAAAATACGTCCCAAAATCAAGCACATAATCGCCAAGGAACTAAGCCAAGACATCTTTGCAAAATCTTCGTTATCACACGCCCAAGGCAAATCAGCTCCGGAACGAGTTCCAAGTTCCTCGTAACATGCCAAAGGCATTTCATCTCCAGAAACAAGCTCCAAGTTTCTCGTAACATGCCCAAGGCATTTTTATCTCCGGAACAAGCTCCAAGTTCATCGTAACATGCCCAAGGCATATCATCTCTCGGAACAAGCGCCAAGCTTCTCGTAACATGCTCAAGGCATTTCATATCTGGAAACAAGCTCCAAGCTCCTCTTAACATTCCCAAGGCATTTCATCTCCGGAAACAAGCTCCAAGCTTCTCATAACATTCCCAAGGCATTTCATCTCAGGAAACAATCTCCAAACTTCTAATAACATTCCTAAGGCATTTCATCTCCGAACAAGCTCCAAACTTTTCGTAACATTCCCAAGGCATTTCATCTCCGGAAACAAGGTCCAAGTTTCTCGTAACATTCCCAAGGCATTTCATATTCTGAAACAAGCTCCAAGCTTCTCGTAACAAGCCCAAGGCATTTTATCTCCGGAACGAGCTCAAATCTCCTCATAACATGCGTGAGGTGCTGCATTTTAAAAACACGTGCTCCAGCCTCCTTAAAGACGCTTACAAATGCAACGATCACAATGGTTTTTCAGCTATCTTATATTAGCCACTCTAAATTTTGTGCCGAGCTGGCAAACCTCATACTTCAAATACGTCCGTCGTACCTCTCTCGTCATACCTTGATTACTGGTCTCATCTCTCCAAAATAACACCTTTGCCAAGCCAAGGTTGTCGTTAAACCAAGGTCATCGCGGAACTTAGCTCCCTGCTAAGTCAACCTTCTCGCCGGACTGGTCCTCCCTCAAACAACCAATCTCGCTAGGACGACTCTTCTCCAGCTGATCTAACTCGATTTCGCCATGCCTCAACTACTTTCCCGCTAAACCAAGTTTTCCACACCAACAATCTCGCCCGAGAATTTGGTCCCAGCAAAATCGTACATCACCACGGCTCGGCACAACGGTAGGATGTTGAGCACAACGAGACACCGGGAACGGCCTTAAATCATCGCTCGGCCCGTCTTGAGATTGTCTCGCCCCTGCCCGTTTCGACATCGTCTTGCTATGGCTCCACCACAACGACGTCTTGCCTCGGCCCGACTCGGCATCGTCTCACCATGGCCCGTCTCGATCTTGTCTTGCTGCGGCTTGGCCTCAACATCACCTCACCACAATCTCAACTCGGAGAAGTCTCAGCTATGCAACCCGCCTGTCACGATCTCGCCACTACACCATCTCTTTGGGGCTTCACCGTGGCCCATCTTGGCGTGATCTCGTTGTCTCAGCCCAGCTCGGCGTCACCTCGCCACGGCACGACCCAAGCTCCACCACGACATCACTTCCACGCAACAAAGGAACGGACACGGCTCCACTACGACAACATCTTGGCGCCGTCTTGCCAACACTCTGCCGCGGCAACGTCTCGTCGCAAGCTATTCTCCAACACTCCGCCACGGCGTAGTCTTGTCGTCTCACCACGGACCCGTCACGACGCGGCTCCAACAACAACCACGTCTCATCACGGCGCGGCTCCAACAACAACCACGTCTCGTCGCAGCAACCCGTAAAGGTTCCGCCTCATCCGTTATTCAAACTAACCCGGCGCGGCACGATCTCGTTCTCCAGCATAGCTTGCACCAAGTCGGCGCAGAACTTCCTCCTCGGCGCGGCGTGGGCATGGTCGTCTGCACGGCGCGTCTCTTGGCTCAGCCCATCTCACGCGACTCGACGACGAGACGACCTCAACTCTAGCAAGGTAGGGAAATGGCTAACCTTGACAAAATATTGCCACGACACCACCTTAGCAAAGAAATTGCCGCGGCTACACCATCTCGACAATAAAGTCTTTGCGGCTCTGCCTATCCACGACAACGACCCGCCGTGGCTCTATATCCCCACAGTACCAACACAACGTAACAACATTTAATAGTGCAGCAAGCTCTCCCAACTAGAAGCATCGGCGCGGTGAACTAGAAGCAGTGCAGATTGTAATCTTGGCTAAGTCTCTCAGAACGACATCTTTACCAATTCATGCTGCAACATCCTAGCGCATCCGAACAATTTGGGCACGGCCCGAAGCTTCAATGGATCTATTTTTGAACACTACTCGAGGCTTCCACACATCTACAGATTCGGTCACGGCGAGACAACCCCAAATCAAGTTTGCTACAAAGTTATGAGCATGTCGTCGAAGAGGAGATTCGTTCTCCTTGAAAAGCATGTCCACGACACTATTGATCAAGAGTTCTACCCTCTAAATACACGACAAAGGACCCCAAACTTGTCTACAATAATGTCATCCTCCAATTTGCGCCCAACTAATATGTCTACTACTCAAAGATTAGCCCACCGAACTCAAGCAAGCTCTCGCACACCGGACTAAGGGAGGGGGCTATTGTTGGATATGGGTCATGGCCCTCATATATTAGAAGGCCACAAAGCAAATGTCCAACAAGCTTAAAGGAGGATTTCTTTAAAACAAGCCCATTAAGCTCGGAGGGGCAAAATCGTAAATCGCAAAGGAGACATGAGGGATTTAAGGGTTTTTGGCCCCTATAAATACATTGTATCACTATTTGGAAGAAGGGGGGGGAGAACCAGGGAGAGACTCGCGCAGCTCCCGAACCCGCCTAGCCCGAGTTCCCCGCCGCGTCTCTCTTTCTTGTGTTTTACTCATCTGTTTCGTATAGAGTTCTCGGCTCGACAGATAGTCTATAACTGCCGCAGCGAGACTTCTCTCTTTGTAACCTCGGATCTTACAAAAACTTTAATAAAGGAACTAGTTTCGTATCGTCCCGAAAATCTCGTATCATTATTGTAGTTGCTCCCCCCTTGCACAAACAACAGGACTGGCCAGTACGCGGATGCATGGTTAAACATCGAGGAGAAGGCTTTAGTCCTTCAGGAATGTGATAATGAAGAATTGTTTGTTCTTCAATGCTTCAAGGGGGCACATGGCTTGTATGTGGCTGTCAATTTAATGACACATTCCGTTCCAGATGTTTGGGAATTGGGCTATGATCTTATCCACCGGTGGGGAAATGAAACGTTTACGTATGAAACCGACAAGATGACTAAGATTCGAAGGGTGAGTTTCGAAGCTCCTGAGATGAACTACATGGTTATTCCTTATTATGCCTTAGATGAACGCTCGGTAGTGAAGTTGGAAATTCGCATTTGCGGATTAAGAGAAGATGTCGAGGAAGAAAATGATGAGGATGAGGATGAGGATAAAGACGAAGAAGAGGAGTAATAATTATCATTTCATATATATTGTAGTATGTTTGTTGAGTTCATATATTATTTCATATATAACTTTAGTTCCTATGTTTGTTTTTTCGGTGTATGCTTTCACCAATGAACTCTATCTCTAAAGTCTAAAATTAAACTCTTTTATGGCCTTATTGTTTTACTCAATGTTTGTTTCTTTCTCTAACTGTCGAAACTACTTATACTTCTCTTTGTTAGTGCCTTTAAAATTTGAATATGATATGCAATCAAAATAAATAGATTTTTCTTTTTTTTTGCTTGTTTTCTTGTATTTTGTTTAGTAAGTTTACTTCGCTATTTTTTTCTTGAATTTGGTGTGTAAAAACCGATTTAAGAAAATAATTATTAAGTGTTTTCGACTCGCTAAATTCCAAATTTTAAAATTGTGTCAATCTATAGGTTATTGAATTTGATTGCTAATAGATAAAAGAATATAAAATACATAACTAATCTTCCATTAATATGTTGAGAAACATAAATATATATGAAACAAAAAAAAGTAAACATTTGTAGATAAAAAAAATTGGATTAAAAATGGCTATAAAATTTAGGGTTCGAATGTTTACAGCGATTCTAGCTGACAAAAATATCCATTCACGCATTACGTACAATGGCACTTTTACAAAAAAACTAATAATAATAATACTAATTAAAATCCAATTTGTCTTCGTCTTCCTCATCATCAACCTATTTGGTTCTTCTTCCTCCGTAACTAGCTCCAGTGAAAGTTTTTAATTTTGTTGAATACTATCATCACTATTTACAAAAGTAAGTGAAATAAATCCGATCTTTCAGGTCTAGTTTCTTACTTCACGCATTGTTCTTGCTTCTCGGTTTGATTTAGAGTTTTGAAAACTGTTGTGATTTAGGGTTTATGGATGATTTTGGTGAAATTGCTGAATTAGGAAGCTTTCATTTACTTAGATTATGTGTGGGACTTGTAGAATTAGATTGATTAGCTTCAAATCTATGCCTTGAAGATTCCAATTTCATTACAGTCACTGACATTTATACTGCTTCACCAAGTGCTAATAGCTCGATTGGTAAAGATCTCTCGCAAAAGTTTAGAAGTCACCGGTTCGAGTAGCGCTTGGGACGAGACCATATAACATGCTCTGGTCTCGGGCTTGAGGGGATGTATGGGTTTTGGCCCAGAACCTCTTAGTTATTCAAAAAAAAAAAATTATACTATTTCAAAATTCGCAAAGACCACCTTTTTCACTTTGATCGAATAGCAAATGAGTTCTGTGAGTATAGACTGCTTCAAGAAACATTACAGTTTTGGATTTGTATAAGCTTCACTCTTTAACTCTGTGAATTGTGTTTTAGTGTGACGATGGACATATAGCTTGCTCTTCTTGTTGTACTAAGCTGAGGAAGAAATGCCCGTCCGGCGCGTTGCCCATTGGTAACTATCGATCGAGAATAATGGAGAGAGTTGTTGAAGCAGTCTTTGTCCCATGCTCAAATGCTAAACATG